GAAGGAAATGGGGGGAAATGCAGAGAAAAATGGGGAGGAGATGGGGGGAAATGCCGAGGAAGATGAGGGGAAATGGGGGAAAAAGGGGGAGGAGACGGGGGAAGAGCGAGGGAAGAACGGGATGGGATGTGGGGGGACGTGGGGGGGACACGAAGGGACTGGGGGGGGGGTCGCGGTGGCTGATCCTGCACCCCCCCCGCCCAGGCTGAGCGATGGGAAAGAATTCCTGTTCCAGGCTAAGGACGAGGTGAGACCCCCCCGTGTCCCCTGGATGTCCCCAGTGTCCCCCAGCCCCCCCCAGTGTCCCCAATGTCGCCGTGTCCCCTCCCCAGGCCGACATGGCCCTGTGGCTCCGGGCGATCGAAGCCGCCGCCGGGGCCACGCTGGGCCCGGGGGGGCCCCGGGAGGGCTCGGGGGTCCCCGGGGGTCCCCCCAAGGGGATGTCGCGGGCCCTGAGCCTCCCCCCCGTGCCCCCCCCCGCCGAGGGAGCCCCCCGGCCCCGCGAGCCCAAGGAGAGGGAGAAACGCTTCAGCTTCTTCAAGAAGAACAAGTAGAATTTGGGGGTGACGGAGGGACACGGGGGGGGCCCCATGGAGGGGCTGAGTGTCCCCCCCCCCCGTCCCGGGGATGTCCCCGCGCAGCCCCCCCCCCAATAAAGTGATTGGAGACACAGCCTGGGGGGGTCTGAGTGTGCTGGGGAGCGGGGACTGGGAGGGGCTGGGATGGACTGGGATGGACTGGGAAGGGCTGGGATGGACTGGGAAGGGGTGGGATGGACTGGGAGGGGCTGGGATGGACTGGGAAGGGCTGGGATGGACTGGGAGGGGCTGGGATGGACTGGGAGGGGCTGGGATGGACTGGGAAGGGCTGGGATGGACTGGGAGGGGCTGGGATGGACTGGGAAGGGCTGGGATGGACTGGGATGGGCTGGGATGGACTGGGAGGGGCTGGGATGGACTGGGAAGGGCTGGGATGGACTGGGAGGGGCTGGGATGGACTGGGAGGGGCTGGGATGGACTGGGAAGGGCTGGGATGGACTGGGAGGGGCTGGGATGGACTGGGAAGGGCTGGGATGGACTGGGATGGGCTGGGATGGACTGGGAGGGGCTGGGATGGACTGGGAAGGGCTGGGATGGACTGGGATGGGCTGGGATGGACTGGGAGGGGCTGGGATGGACTGGGAAGGGCTGGGATGGACTGGGATGGGCTGGGATGGACTGGGAGGGGCTGGGATGGACTGGGAAGGGCTGGGATGGACTGGGAAGGGCTGGGATGGACTGGGAGGGGCTGGGATGGACTGGGAAGGGCTGGGATGGACTGGGATGGGCTGGGATGGACTGAGATGGGCTGGGATGGACTGGGAAGGGCTGGGATGGACTGGGATGGGCTGGGATGGACTGAGATGGGCTGGGATGGACTGGGATGAACTGGGATGGACTGGGATGGGCTGGGATGGACTGAGATGGGCTGGGATGGACTGGGATGAACTGGGATGGACTGGGAAGGGGCTGGAATGGACTGGGAAGGGGTGGGATTTGGGTAGGAGTGGGTTTGGGGGCGGGTTTGGGCGATGGGATAAGGACGGGGCTCACGCTGGGGTGGGATTGGGGTGGGCTGGGATGGGGCTGGGCCGGTTTCGGACTGGGCCGGGGTTCGGCAACGGGCGGCGCGGGGCACCCCAGTGCTCCCAGTACGGAGCCCAGCGCTCCCAGTACATCCAGCGCTGTCAGTGCTCCAAGCACCCCCAGCACCCCCAGCGTTCTCAATACCCCAGGGACCCCAGCACAGAGCCCCGCGCTCCCAGTACGGCTCCCAGTGCTCCCAGTACGGCTCCCAGTGCTCCCAGTACGGCTCCCAGTGCTCCCAGTACAGCCTCCAGCGCTCGACGCGCCCACCCCCCATCAATGGACCGCCCCTGCCCCCCCTCCGCAGCTTCAATGGACCGCTCCTCCCCTCGCCCCGCCCCCTCCCTCCTGTGATTGGCTGCGGCCGCTCCGTGGGCGGGCTCACACGGCGGAGCGATGACCTCACGCTGCGGAGTTTGAATGACAGCGCCGGTAGCAAATGAACTCGCGGGAGGCGGGGCGGGGCCGGGAGACGCCGCCGCCATTTTGTGAGCAGCGCGCGACGGACGGGGCAGGTGGGGGCGGGGAGGGCCCGAGGGAGGTTCGGAACCGGGGGTCGGCACCGGGGACCGGGGGGGACACACGGGCTAGACCCTGCCACGGCCCCGCTGAGGCGCCCGCAGGCCTCGGGGGATGCGATCCGGGAGGGTTTGGGGGGTCTCGGGCCTGTGGAGGGGAAGGGTTTTGGGGGGGGGGGTCGGGTTCTCAGATCTGAAGGGTCTCAGGCCCCGGGGGGGACAAGAGGGGTTTGGGGGGCGTCTGAGCCCTGAGGGGTTTTGGGGTTCCGGGCGTGGCTCTGCCCTGTGGGGATGTGGGGGATGCGCGGAGTTTTGGGGTGTTTGGGGGCTCTGCCCTGCAGGAAAAGGGGTGTCGGAGACTTAGGTGGATTTTGGGGATTTCAGAGGTTTAAGGTGTTTTTTGGGGTGTTAGAGGTTTACGGTGTTATTTTGGGGTGTTTGTGGGCACGGTGTAGGAGGGGCACAGCAGAGCTTTGTTTTAGGGGGGATTTGGGGTGTTTGAGGCTCTGCCCTGAAGGAGCAGAAGCAAAATTTTGGGGGGGATTTGGGGTTTTTGGGGCTGTGCTCTTTGAAAGGATCTCAGCCCTGGGGGCCACAATGAGGCTCAAGGTTTTTGAGGGGATTTGGGGTGTTTGGGGCTATGCCCTGAATGAGCAGGGGCAAAATTTTGGGGTGTTTATTTCAGAAGATTTGGGGTCTTTAGGGCAGCAGCCCCAGGGACGCACACAGAGGTTTGGAGGCTTTATTTGAGAGGTGTTTGGGGGGCCAGCCCTGGGCACAGGGACAGAGATTTGGGGTATTTAAGGAGGATTTAGGGTGTCTGGGGGCACAGCCCCACGGCCACACAGAGTTTGGGGATATTTCAGAGGATTTGGGGGCACATACAGCAGGATTCAGGGTGTTTATTTGGTGTTTTGGGGGGCACAGCCCCAGAGGTGTTTGAGGATGATTTAGGGTGTTTGTGGTCACACACACGCAGAGGTTCGGGGCGATTCAGGGGATTTTTGGGCGCGCGCACAGCGAGGCTCGGGGGGTTTCTCGGGGGGTTCCAGGGCTCACCGCGGCGCTGTCCGGCGCAGGCGCGTCGCGATGGTGAAGCTGTTCATCGGGAACCTGCCGCGGGAGGCGACGGAGCAGGAGATCCGCTCCCTGTTCGAGCAGTACGGGAAGGTGCTGGAGTGCGACATCATCAAGAACTACGGCTTCGTGCACATCGAGGACAAGACGGCGGCCGAGGACGCCATCCGCAACCTGCACCACCACAAGCTGCACGGCGTCTGCATCAACGTGGAGGCCAGCAAGAACAAGAGCAAGGCCTCCACCAAGCTGCACGTGGGCAACATCAGCCCCGCCTGCACCAACCTGGAGCTGCGCGCCAAGTTCGAGGAGTACGGCCCCGTCATCGAGTGCGACATCGTCAAGGACTACGCCTTCGTGCACATGGAGCGGGCCGAGGACGCCGTGGAGGCCATCCGGGGGCTGGACAACACCGAGTTCCAAGGTGAGGCGCGGGGCTGGGTGCTGGGAGGGCTCCGGGGTTCCCGGTGGACGCTCCCGCCGGCCCCGGCTCTGGGGTCGATCCTGGAAGTGACCACGGCCGGCTCCGCGGGGCCGTAAAGCGCCCTCAGGGCTCTGGGGTTGGTGTTGGTTGGTGCCCGCCCCGCCGCAGCTCCTGGGGCCGCCCGCGCGGCGCGGCCGGAGCGAGGGCTCGGGCTCGGGGGCTCTGGGCCGGGGAGGACGGGACTGACCCATCTCTGATTAACCAGCACGGCCGCCCCGCAGGAGGACCCCGACGGCGACGTCCTGTGCCGGGCCGGAGCAGCGGGTGACGCCAGGCTGCCGCCCGCCCTTGTAGCCTTGCCCAGCCTGGTAAGAGGGCGACAGAGGCGCCCGACCCCGCGCCCGGCGTCGCTCGGGCGCTCGACGGGGCTGAGCCGCCGGACTCGAGCCGCGGCGCTGGCGGCGGTGATGGCGAGCGCGTCTCCCGGCCGGGTGCTCAGGGCGGCGTCCGGCGCTTCACCCGCGTGGCAGCGCGGCCAGACTGAGCGCTCCCGGTGCCGCCGGGGCTCCGCACGTCCCGCCGCCCCCGTTCCGGGCCTCCCCCAAAAAAACATCAACCCAGCCGGGCTGGCGCGGCTGCGCCCAGAGCTGCCCCGGCAGCGTCCGCGCTTGGCTTTGCCTCGTGCCGCACATGGGCCGGGCCCCGATCGCTCCGGGGCGCTTCCCGGTGTCGCATCCCTCTCGCCGCCACTCCGGCGTTTTCCGGCGCGAAGCTTTGCCGTCATACGGGGCCGGCAGTGCAGGGTCCGGCCCCGGGCTGCCGGGGCTTTGCCGGGCCGGCCAGCTTGGCCGCGCTCGGCCGCGGCAACACATCCCGGTCGGCCGCTGTCCGGCGTCCATCTGGTGGCTCACGCTCGGTCCCGCGGCGGCTCCTCCCGCGCCGGTGGCTGCGGAGGGCTGGGGGGGCGGCAGCCGGTCCTGTCCCGCCCTGCCGGTGCCCCGGCACGGCCGCACTGACCCTGCCTCTCGCGTCTCTCCCCAAGGCAAGCGGATGCGCGTGCAGCTGTCCACCAGCCGGCTGCGGACGGCGCCCGGGATGGGAGACAAGAGCGGCTGCTACCGCTGCGGGAAGGAGGGGCACTGGTCTAAGGAGTGCCCGGTCGATCGCCCGGGGCAAGTGGCGGACTTTGCCGAGGCCTATAACGAGCAGTACGGAGCCGTGCGCACTCCCTACACCGCGGGCTATGGGGAGACCGTGTATTACGATGAGGCCTACGGCGGGATGGCCGACTACTACAAGCGCTACCGCGTCCGCTCCTACGCCACGGCCTCGGCGTACGACGCCTACGCGGAGCAGACCATGGCCCAGTACTCCCAGTACGCCCAGTACTCCCAGGTCCAGTCCTCGGCCATGGCCGCCACCACGGCCATGGCCGGCCGCATCCCCACCACCTTAGACGCGTACGACCGAGCGCTGCTGCCCACCCCGGGCGCGGCGGCCGCCGTCGCCGCCGCCGCCGCCACCGCCGCGGCCGCCGCCGCGTCCTCCACGTATTACACCCGGGACAGGAGCCCCCTGCGCCGCACGGCCGCCGCGGCCAGCACCGTCGGAGAGGCGTACACGTACGAGCGTGGGCAGCTGTCGCCCGTCTCCTCGGTGGCCCGGGCGTCCCTCTACGACATGCAGCGCTTCGGGCGGGACCCGTACGCGGACCGGGCGCGATACTCCGCCTTTTGAGCCGGAGGTGAGCGCGTTGGCGGCTCTCGGCACCGCGGGAGGGCCCCGCTGCCAGTGGTCCCGGTTGTGCTGGTCGAGCTCGAGGCGGGTGACGGGTCACAGTGCCACGGACAGCTCCCGCGGGCGTTAAAGCCCGACCGTGGCGAGGAGGTGCCGTGGTGAGCGGGGCGGTGCCGGTCTCACTCTCACGGCCGTAACTCACGTTCTTGCTGGGCCGGGCGCCGTCCCGGCACAGTCCCCATGGGGCGGGGGGTTCCCACAGAGCCCCTGGCCTGGGGGCAGCTCCTACCCAGGTCCCGGCGGGCCGAGGGTCCCGGTGGGCCGGAGCCCCACCGCTGCTCCACGTCAGGACTCTGTTGCTGCTAGGAAGCCGCAGCTCCCCAGGGCTCCGGGGCTCAGCAGGGTTCCACATCAGTCCCGGGGGCACCTGCGCCAACTCCTCTTTTCTCTTACAGGTAAGATTTGTGCGGCTGGACGTCGGGGTCCCGTCGCACGCCGACTCGGCGCCGCGCGTCTCGGGCCGCGCCGGGTGCCTCCGCCGCCGCGTGCCACTCCCGGGCCCATTCCTTACGGACGCGCGGCTCGTCCTCAGCCCGGGCAGGATTAGCTCAGCCCCTCCCTCAGCTTCCCCCGCCCCCCTGGGCAGGATTTTGCTTTTCCAGGTAGTTTTGGGTCCCCACCCCGGGCTCAGGTGTGAGCACGCAGCCGCAGCCATAGCCGCCCCCCAGCGCCAGCTTTGCTTTGCTTCGCCGCCCCCTCGCTCCCCCGGAGCTCTTCCCGAGTCGTCGTTTTGCCTTTTTTTTTTTTTTTTTTTTCCTTTATTTTTTAAGAGGGTGGATAATCCAGTGGTAGGTTTTTAGCCCAACGCCGTAGCAGACCGGAGGCCGCCGCGCCGGCGGGGGGGGAACCCACCGAGTGATTTAGAGTCCCCCGACCCCACTTTCCGGTAAAATAAAACTCAAAATTTTTAACAAACGGCGCTGGCTCCACCCCCGGTTCTTTCTCTGCACTCAAGTCCCCTCAGAACGTGGCACAGAACCTTCTGGACTCCCCGGTGCTGCCTGTGCCCTGCCTGGCTCGGCCCGCGCAGACCGGAGCTCCCAGGGAGGGGCTGCTGCAAATGGGGGCACCCCCAAAACAGTCCCAGGGCCCCCCAAAGGGGCACCCAGGGGTAACACAGGGGCTTTAACCAGCCCCCAGCTCTTCCTCCTCCTCATGGGCGACAGGAGCCACCACTTAACCTGCCCCGGGCTAATTAGTCCCCAGACTGCCTTGTTTGTCCCCAAACTGGCTCGTTTGTCCCCAGATGCTCTCCTGCCTCACCTTGTTCATTAATTAAGGTCATTAAGCCCAGGACATGCCTTTGCTGATGTTGCCGGTTCTGCCTCACCAGCGCCGATCGGTGCCGTGGTCACCTGTGGGCGCTGCCATCGCCACACCTGGGGACTCTGGGCATGTGGCCACCCTGGGAAGGAAGGGAGAAGCATCAGACCGTCCTGCCTTGCTAATTACCGCGGTGGTTAACGAGCCTTGGCCATCCCTCCTGTGGCACAGCCGGGACTGGGCTGTGACCGGTGCTGGGGGAGAGATGGGGACAGAAGGTGCCTGCAGGAATAGTCACGGTTGTGACGGTGGTACACCTGGCACACCACATGCCACGTCAGCTCTCGCTCACACTCGGCACCACCCCTCAAAACCAGCTTTTCTCACCCAAAACAAGGCCCTGGCGCAGGCTGGTGCCAGCGATCCCATGTGGTGGTGTCGCAGCAGGGCTGAGTCTGGCACTTCCTGCTGCCGGCTCCGAACGCTGCTCATCCTCCAAATCTGCCTCCAGCTCCAGCACTGGGAGCGGCTCCAGTCTGAGCTGGGTGGCGCTGGTGGCACCCGGAGGTGTCCCCAGTGGGGGGAGAGGATCCCAGGACTGGGAAAGAACCAGGCAGGAGGCGTTGGGAACCAGAGCAGACCCCAACATTTATTTACAGTCATAAAAAAAACCCGGCACCATGCCGGGCCTGACACTGGAAATGGGGAATTTGCCCAAAAAACGGGACAACTCATGGTATAAAAGAGTCTGAGCCACACGGCCACAACCGTTGGCGGGTTATGAACCGGCACCGAGCGCCGGCGAGGGATGAACCACGCGGCCACTGCCAACCGTAAGCGCGGAACCTTCTAAAAAAGTCAAAACAGCAAAACCAGAAAGAATGGGCTGAAAAAGAACCGTCCGTGCCCCAGTGGGGCGGCGAGCGGGGCCGAGGCCGGCTCAGAGGCGGCGCTGGTAGCCCGAGTGGATGCGGGCAGCGGGCAGATAGTCGCTGTAGCCGCCCGAGTAGCGGGCGTACTCGCTGTGCGCGTCCGGCATGCGGCGGTAGTCCAGCGGGGACTTGGCGGGCGAGCGGCGGTACACCAGCGGCGAGTCCGCTAAGCGCCGGTAATCGGCCAGCTCGGACATACGGCGCTCAGAGCCGTACCTGGGTGAGAGAAGAGACGGGGGGTCAGCCGTGGGGGGATGGCGCTTGGATCCGCCACCAGCGGTGGCACCGCGTCCCACCTGGGGACGCACCGCAATGGGCAAAGCCGGCGCAGGACGGGATCGGACGCTGGACGCCGCCGAGGCCCCGCTGTGTGCCACCGCCTCCCTTCACCCGCACCAAACCCCGTCCCCTCCCCGGGATCTGCGCGGCGCGGGTGGAGCCAATGCGCCCACCGCACCGGGCGATAGCGAGCCGTGCCGGTGCCGCGCGGCGCCGGTCAAGCCGCGAGCGGTGCGCCGGAGCCCGCCGAGCTGGCGAGCAATGGGAGGCAGGGGCGGGGGTCGGTGCCCCGCCTGGCACCGTACCTTTTAGCCAGAGAGGACGATTTTTTGTACGGGTCGTCGTAGGCGGCGCTGCGAGGCGGGGAGAGGCGGGTGCGCTCGTAGGGCGGTGCGGCGGCTGTGGCCTGCGCCAGGCCCAGGTAGGAACCCGCTGGCTGCCCCAGCTGGCTCGGCCCGTCGTAGGCGCTGCCCGGCTGGGCTCGGTACGCGGCTGCCAGCGCGGCGGAGGACGGCTGCTGCGCCGGGTAGGAGGCCGCCATGGCACCGGAGGCCTGGGCCCGGTACGCGGCCGTCAGCGGGGCGGAGGCCTGCACCTTGTAGGAGGTGGCGGCGACGGCGGCCTGGCTGCCGTAGGACGCGGCCAGCGAGGAGCCCGTCTGCGCGCCGTAGCCGGCGGGGAGCGCGGCGGCCGCGGGCTGGCTGCCGTAGGACGCAGGCAGACCTGCGGCAGGCTGGGCGCCGTACGAGGCCGAGTGGCCCACGGTGGGCTGGGCGCCGTACGAGCTGGACAGCGCGGGCTGGGCACCGTAGGAGGCTGAGTGGCCGGCCACTGGCTGGTAGGCAGCGGCGGCGTGGCCGGCCACAGCCTGGGCGCTGTAAGAGCTGGCGTGCACTGCCACGGCCTGGGCGCCGTAGCCAGTGGACAGCGTGGCACCAGGCTGGGCACCGTAGGAGCCAGCGTGGCTATCCATGGGCTGGGCGCCGTAGGAGCCTGTGGCCAGCTGGGCGCCGTAGGACGCCACGTGCACGGCCACGGCCTGGGTGCTGTAGGAGCTGGCGGAGCCGGCAGCGGGCTGGGCGCCGTACGCAGCGATGGCGGGCTGGGCGCTGTAGCCGGCCGAGTAGCCCGAGGCAGGCTGGGCACTGTAGGAGGAGGCCAGGGCGGCGGACTGGATGCTGTAGGAGCTGAGGGAGTTGGCGGCGGCAGGCTGGGCGCCATATGAGGCGGCAGCGGCAGGCTGGGCGCCGTAGGAGCCGAGGGAGTTGGCGGCAGCGGGCTGAGCGCCCGCAGCGCCCAGGGAGCCGACCGAGGGCTGGGAGCGGTAGGCGCTGCCCAGCGAGGCCGAGGGCTGCACGCGGTACGCGGCGGCCTGGCCCGTGGTGGGCTGTGGGCGGTACGCCACGCCCAGGGAGGCCGAGGGCTGGGCTCGGTACGTGGCCCCCAGCGAGGCCGAGGGCTGGGCGCGGTAGGCGGCCGGCTGTGCCGTCATGGGGAGTGTCACCGCGGCGTAGCCAGGACGGGTGGGCGACCGCCGCAGCGGGCTGCGGTCCCTGCCAAAGTAGGAGGGGGAGGCAGGCCGGGGCTGCGCATCGAAGGCGTCGTACTTGGCGCCGAAGCGCTGCTGGTAATCGTACAGAGAGGGGGTGGTGGCGTAGCCGGTGCCTGCGGCCGAGGGGAAGGCGGCGTCAGCCACCCGCCGCTGCTGGTCGAAGCCCTCGATCTTGGGCTGGAACTTCTCGCGGTACTCGAGGCCGATGCGCTTGGTCTTGTCGACGCCGAGGGCAGGCGGCGGCGCCTGGCCCGTGCCCTTCTTCTGCACGTTGGTGGAGAGCTCCACGTTCACCCGGCGCCCCTTCACCTCCTTCCCATTTAGGTTTTCGATGGCAACTTTAGCATCGGCTTCGTTCTCCATGTGCACAAAGGCATAGTCTGACAAAGCAGCAGAGAGAGCAGTGAGGGGAGAAAACACAACTCGTTACAGGAGACGGCGCTAACGAGCCGTGCGGCAGCAGCGGGATGGGCGCAGGACGGGCGCTGCCAGCCCCAGGACGGCACTGCCGGCCCCGCTCGCTGGCGAAGACACAACCACCACCGTTGGCTCTGCCCCACACTCCTTTGGTCACAGCCCACCTGGCGTCCCCCAGCCCACCTGGCTCCCTCCAGATGCCCCCAGGCTCTGCCTCCTGTCACCCCCTCCCAGCCCCTCCCTGGCACACGGGGACAAAGGGCCCGGGCTGGGCTGGCAGTGCCAGCACCGTGGGCTCAGCTGGGATGTCCTGGCAGTGAGCGGAGCAAAGCTGAGAGAACCGGCGCCAGCACAGAGAGCAGGACAGGGACAGAGGCAGGGGGAGGAGAGGCGGGAGAGGAAGAGGAGACAGAGAAAGACAAGGACAGAGAAGGGAACAGGGACTTAAGACAGAGGGGAAGAGGAAGAAGAAGGGAGAATGAGGGAGGGAAGGGCCTGAGCACCCCCCACGAGTGCCGTGGCGAGGAGCCGGTGCCATGCGGCACAGCCACGGTTCGGCAGCGCAGAGGCATCTGAGGACAGCGAGGAGCAGGGAAGGTGGCAGCTCTGGTGGCCGCCTGTGGCACTTGGCCCAGCGGGTCTGGGGGCTGGATGCCCCCATGGCGGTCTGGGGGTCACCCCCATGGCACGACGGGTCCCGGGCCAGCACAGGGCAGGAGGGCAGCGACCCCGTGGTGTTTTCCTGCAGTCACAGACCGAGACCACCGGAACCAGTGGCAACCCACCCAAGAGCATGTGCTGTTCTGGGAGCGTAACTGGCCAAGCAAACCCATCCCAGATGTCTCAGCATCAGCGCCATGTCACCCTGTGTCCCCCCCTCTGCCATCCCACCCCCCTGGCTCCTGTCCCACATCCACACGTCCCACTCTGGCAGCCCAAAGAGGGGGTATCCCCTCCATGTCACCCCCAGCCCTGCTGCCACCCCCTGGGGTGGCCATGGCACCCCCAAACTCGAGTGGACGCAGGGTAGGTTCTGCCGGGCTGTGCTGGTGGCTGCAACCTGGGACAAGAGAGCAGAGGAACAACATCCCCCTCCTGTGGGCAGGGGCACACGGGCACTGCGGGGGCATCACCAGGACTTCAGGGTCAGGTGAGAGGACATGAGATGACAGCAGGGACAGGGACAGGGAACTGGAGTGACAGTTGTTAGTCCATCAGTGTGCCACAAGTGACACTTGAGCTGGGGGAGGTGGGTGACCCCATCTCGCTCTGCTGGGGGTCCCCAGTGTGAAACCATCAGATCCCTCAGGGGTTTCATGGTGTGTTCTGTGCATGTCCCAGCTCCGTGTCTGAGCGTGCTGTGCAGGCCAGGCTGTGGCCTGGGGGTGATTTGGTCGCAGAGGTGGCTGCAGCTGGTAGGAGGTCACCCCACCGTGGGCTGGGGGTGGTGATTGTAGAGAACAGTGCTGCCAGGAAGGGGTTATGGGGGTGTTCAGGAGTGTGGGGAGCCAATAAGGGCCACTCGAGGTAGGCAAGGGAGGATGAGGAGGTTGGCTGGAGGAGGGGTAATGTGGAGATTGAGGGGGCTGGGGAGCCCACACAGGCTCACGTGGCCCCCCTACCTGGGGTTTGGGGAGGCGATTGCAGAGCACGAGGCCGGCTGGAGGAGTTATCAGGGGAGTCACGGGATCAGGGGCACCCACAGGGGCTGGCACAGCCCCACCTGAACCTGCGGGAGGCGATCGAAGACACGTGGTTGCCAGAAGGGGGGGTTAAGGGGTCTGAACCGCCCACACAGGCCCGCACCGCCCCGGCTGGGGCAGGCGGAGGCGATGAAGGAGGACGTGGCTGGCAGAAGGGGGGGTTACGGGAGCACACTCGGGCTCGCACGGCCCCGCTCGGGGCAGGGGGGAGGCGGCAGGAATTCCCCCCGCTCCACCAGCCCGGGCCGCGCCGGGGTCCGGGCGGGGGCGACGCCGCAGTCGGACGGAACTCGGGTGCCACGGATCACCCGGCGGCGCGGGCCGAGCTCGGCGGCGGGGGCCGCGCGGCCCCGGCGGCGGGTCCGGTACCTTTCACCACGTCGCATTCCACCACGGGGCCGTACTGTTGGAAGAGCGAGCGCAGCTCCCCGCTCGTGCACGCGGCCGAGACATTCCCCACGAAGATCTTGCAGGTGTTGGTGGGGCGCGGCCGGGATGGCTCCACCACGATGCGGCGGCCGTGCAGCTGGTGCCCGTTGAGCTGCGAGATGGCGCGCGCCGCCGCCGCCTCGTCCCGCAGGTGCACGAACGCGAACTGTTTCATGAGGGCGACGCCCAGCACCGGCCCCGCGGCGCCGGCGAACAGCTCGCTCAACTCCTCCGCCGTCGCCTCCTCGGGGACGTTCCCCACGAAGAGTTTGATGCCGGGACGCATCTCGGTGGGGGGAGCGCAGCGGTGACAGAACCGGCAGCGGCGGCGGCGGCTTCAAAATGGCGGCGGTTCCTGAGGGCGGCGGGGGCGGCGCCGCGCGCAGCGCGCCTGCGTGCCGTGCGCACCGCCCTCCCTCAGCGCGCCTGCGTGCCGTGTGCACCGCCCGCCCGCGCGCCCCGCCCTCTACTTTCCCGCCCTGGTAACGGTTCACCTCCCGATTAAGCCACGCCCATCAGCCAACGGTCCGCTCTGGCCACGCCCCCTCTTAAAGGAGCCGCAGCACTTCGGGGATCGCGCCCCCCCAGACCCACAGCGGCTGCAGAGCGAGGGGCGTTTATTCGGTCCAGGGGAGATCCTAGAGGTGGGAGTTGGGGGTCTCCATGGCGGGGGTCCCCGGGGGGGTCCCTTGCCTGCGGTCTCGCTCCTCCCAGAGAGTGACGCCGTCGCAGGAACAGACGCGTTTGGGGTTCTGGAAGAGCCCGGCCGCGCGGGCCACCACGCCACAGGCCAGCCTGGGGACACGGCGGGGGTTCAGGGGGGTAACCCCACTAACAAACCCCCTCTCCCCAAAGCCCCCCTCCCCAGTGCTCACCCCCGTCCCGAGTTGCCGGTGACACGGGACAGCGGGTGCGACCCCCGGCCCAGATCGTCCTCGCCCTCGGCCACCACCACGGAGCGGCCGATGATGTCCCAGACCTGGGGAGGGGGGAGCTGGGGGGGTCAGGACCCCACAGAGACTCCCCCCAATTATGGGGTCAGACCCCACCCAGCCGGAGAAATGGGGGTCAGACCCTCCCCGGTCATGGGGCACAGGCTGGACCCCCCCCAGCTGGGGTCAGACCCCTCCTGGCTGTGGGGTGCAGCCCTGGGGAGGGGCTGAGCCCCCAGGACCCCCCCAGACCCCAATTCCCACCTTCAGCCGCGTGTCCTCAATTCGGAACTGCGCTCGGCCCTCGGCATCTGCCCAGATGTTCCCCAGGTCCCCGGCGTGCTGGGGGGGCAGAGGGGGTCAAGAGCCCCCCAAAACTCACAGAGCTCTCCCCAAGCCCACAGAGACCCCCCCCAAATCCCTCATTGCCCCCCAAACCCTGTCCTAGACCACCCCAAACCTTCCAGAAACTTCCAAGAGACTCCCCAGATCCCACCCCAAATCCCTCATTGCCCCCCAAACCCTCCGAGACCACCCCAAACCCTACAGAGACTTCCAAGAGACTCCCCAAATCCCACCCCAAATCCCTCATTGCCCCCCAAACCCCATCCAAGACCACCCCAAACCCTCCAGAAACCTCCAAGGCACCCCCCAAATTCCTGCCCCCCACCCCCAGCTCACCCTGTGCTGGTCCTGGGGTCCCCCGTGGGTCTCCCCATCGGGGTCGAAGTGGCCCCCGCAGCTGTTTTTGGGGGAGGGAAATGGGATATGGGGGATGAAACTGGGGGTTCCTGGCCCCCCCAACCCCTCCCCCACCCCCCTCACCTGTTACAGGGGTCCGAGAGGTCCCCAAATTCGTGGATGTGGAGCCCGTGGGGGCCAGGGGGGAGCCCGGACACGGCGCCGTCCACGAGGCAGCGGCCGGGCGAGAGCTGCAGGAACCGGACCAGCCCCCGAACCCCCCCGGGACCCCCCAGCGCCGCCACCGCCGCCCCCCCGGGGGGAGCTGTGGGGGGGACACGTCAGGGTCGGGCACCCCCAAAATCCCCCCGGCACAAAAATAACCTCAGGGAGCCCCAAAAGGTCCCCCCCAAAACTGACCCTAAACCCCACCCGGGGATAGAAAACACCTCCAGGAGCATCCACCACCCCCAGGACCCCCCCCAAAACCCCGCTGTGACCCTCCAAACCCTTTCATGGAACCACCCAAAACCACTGTGACCCTCGAAAAGCCCCAGGACACCCCCAAAACTCCTCCGTGACCCCCCAAACCCCCCCAATCCCTCTCCAAGACCATCCCAGGATCCCGCAAAGCCCACTGTGACTCCCCAAAACCCCACTGTGACTCCCCTATGAGCCCCTAAAACACTTCTGTGACCCCCTAAACCCTTCCAGGACCCCCCCAAGCCCCTCTCACCCTCGGGGGAGCCCCCCAAACTCTTGAGCACAACCCTGCACCCCCAAAACCCTGCTCGTGGTGGGACACATCAGCACCCAAACCCCACTGGGACATCCCAAACCCCCTCAGGACCCCTCCAAACCCTTCCAGGAGCCCCCCAAAATCCCCCCCAAGCCCCTCTCACCGTCGGGGGAGCCCCCCATGCCCTTGAGCACGGCCCTGCACCCCGAATTCTCCAGCAGCTCCCGCACTTGCTCGGCCGCTGCCGTGGTCTCCACCAGCACCGACTGTTCCTGGGGCCGCAGCTCCAGCAGCTTCACGTCTGGGGGGGCACACGGGTGTTGTCGGGGGTCCCCCAAAACCCTGGGGGGGGGTCCCCGGGCTCTGGGGGGGTTCGGGGGTCTCACCGGGGGCCGCGTCCAGCGCTGCCCGCACGGTATCGGCACAGCCCTGGCAGCTCATCTGCACCGCGAACTCCAGCTGCGGGGAAAACGGGGGGTCAGCGCCCCAAAACTGGGGGGGAGAAGCGGGAGAACAGCCCAAAAATGAGGGGGAAAGTGGCAGCGCCTCAAAAATGAGGGGGGGTGAAAAGGAGGGCAGCACCCCAAAACTGGAGGGAAAGGGAGAACTCGCAGAGCTGCCCGGGGAGGGGTCCTGGATGTGCTGTGGAAGGGATTTTGCACCCCCAAAAACTTGTTCCTGAGGCTCTGAGCCCCCAAACCCGCCCTGCGAGAAGGTCCTGCACCCCAAAAGTGCTTTTTATGGCATGCAGCACCCCTAAAAATGCTTCTCATGGGGTTCTGAATACTCAAAATCCTTCTGTGAGGGGTCCTGTACCTGCAAAACTGCCTGCATGAGGCTCTGAGCCCCCAAACCCGCCCTGCGAGGGGGTCCTGCACCCCTAAAATGCTTCTCATGCGGCGCTGATCCCCCAAACCCCTTCTGCAAAAGCTCCTGCACCCCCAAAAGCGCCGCGGAATGGGATTTTGCACCCCCAGATCAGCCAAAAACAGAGTTTCACCCCCAAATCTCCCGTCCTCCTTTCCCCGAGCCCCTCCGTCCACTCGCCCCCGACCCCCCGTCCCGTCCCGGGGGTCCCGACCCGGCAGCTGCTCCCGGTGCCCGCCGGCGACGCCATAGCCGCGGACTCTGACCCCGGAACCGCTCCGGCGTCACTGCGGCGCGACGGAACCGTTCTGCCGAGGGACCGGAAACGGCCGCGCAACGGGGGAAGGGTTTGGCGGTAGCGCCACTTCCGGCGCCTCGTCGTCATGGCAACGAGGCGGGGTTTGTAACGGGAACCACTGTGGGATTTGGGGGGTTTTGGCGGGTTTGGGGGGGATTTTGGGTGTCCGGAAGGATTTTGGTGGCTTTAGGGGGCTTTTGGGAACACGAGAGTGGGAAGGGCGGGGTTCTGTGGGATGCAGAGGTGGTTTGGGGGGAAAATCCCGTGAGGGGATGGATGGGGTGCAGGTGTCAGGGGGCTCATCCCGCCCATGGGGACACACCAGGGACCCCAAAATCCCCTGGGTGAGGTCCCCAAAGTTACCAGCACGTCCCTCCCGACCCCCCCCCCC